ATAGCAACATCCAGAGGAAAAGAAAAATGTTCTACACGGTTCGAATCCTGGAATTAATCTAATTTTAATTCATCTAGAAGAAGAAAATGAAATTTCCTTAACGACTCCACCAAAAAAAAGGTGACATCTACATATTTCGTCTTTGGTTTCGTCCCACTTTTTACCCACAAGCTTTTCTTATCCCATTACAATTTGGAATCTGAGATCTCGTATGACTCGAAAGAAAGGAGTGGTGACAATCCCTAGACATCCAAAAATGCATGCCATGCGAGGCTCCATCTGCCTTGTTTCTTCGAAACCTTAGTGTTATGGCTCCGAGGATTTATTATATTCCTCAATAATCTCTGAAAGATGAACTCACTAAAATTGCTCAGTTTAGAGGTCCACGGCCGCCACGATCTCCACGACCACGTTTACCGCGACCACTAACCAATGTCCATTGATTTTCTTGCATCTTTTGAGTAGGTTTATTGGTCTTCTTCCTCAGGTCTTTTGAGATGATGCATCGAAGGACTCATATCTGGTAAAAACTCCATTTCCATCGCAAGGACTTCTCTAGGGTTCAATCACACAATTCTCAATAAGGTGTTTCCCAAACCGGCACAAACTCAATGGTTGTAACTGATGGCATAGTTGGTTGCTCAAATTCTTGAGATGGGGTGGATTTGGTAGCAGAAGCTAGGGTAGTGGTTGTGACAGAAGCTGTAGCAGATTCTGTAATAGTTTTAGTTGATTTTGAAGTTAATGAAATCTCCCCTGTTGATGACAAGTTAGTAGCTGAATGTTGGCCTGAGATTATTGAGTCTTGAGCAGTGGGAGTTTCCCCAATAGTTGAGTCTATAGAAGCTATGACAAGTTCTCTTTTTTGTTGTTGACCTCCGAGGGTTCAAACCCGAAAGTTTGATGTTGCATGGCATACTTTTTCTTTCTTCAAATACAACTATCCCTTAAAAACTAATAGAATTAGAGAATTAAACAAGAGAGGAAAAACAAAAAAAAATCATTCAACATTCTTTCCCTTCAAAAAAAAAAAAAAAACACCTAGTAAAGTGGTAATGGTTTTTTTGATAAAGAAGTGGTAATGTTCTCATATTCTATTTCCTACTTTGTTCAAAATAAATA